AGAGAGAGAGAGAGAGAGAGAGAGAGAGAGAGAGAGAGAAGAGGACAAGAGAGAAAAAGGAAAAGAAGAAGAAAAAATAACCAAGTCAGATTTTTTTAGCAACAACTTAAGAAATAAAAACACGAAAACGAACAAGAGCAAAACCAACCCATAACCAACGACATAACCTCCTCACCCGCCGCCTCATCCCCTCCCACAGACATCGACGAATGCAGCTACGAGGACATAGCAGCTCAATGCGAACACCGCTGCGTCAACACCCCCGGCAGCTACCACTGTGCCCAAGCCGAGGAGCTGCTGCAGACGGCCCTCGAGTGCCCCGAAGGCCTCGTGCCAACCGACGACAACCTCTCGTGCCAAGGTCGGGCCGCGGACTCGCAAACAAGCCGCTGGAAATGGGCCTTGTTTCGTATTCTTTCGTTTTACTTGTTTGATTTTTCTTCGTTTGTTTTCTGATTGTTTTTTTCTTTTAAGTTATTTATTTTTATACTTGTTTATTTTCCATTATTATTTATCTTTGTTTATTTATCTTATCATTTCTTTATTTTTTACTTATTTATGTATTCAGTTTTCACTACGGGAAAGTTTCAAGGAAGCAAATAAATAGAAAGATAGATACGTAGATTTAGAAATAAATAGACAAAAAATATATACGGATAGATATATGGATAGATAGATAGATAACTGGGTAGATAGATAGATAGACAAATAGATGGAAAATGATAGATAGCGAGATAGATAGATAGACAGATACAATCATATCTAGTCGTTCATTCTCTTAGTTATAAAACAGAAGCTCTACGACAAAAAAATATTTGAGATCTCTCCTCTTCCTGCAGACAAGGACGAATGCGCAGTAGACAACGGCTGCTTGTATATAGATATAGACAGATAAAGAGATAGATAGATAGGCAGATAGACAAATAGGTAGATGGAAAGATGACAGATAGAAAAATGGATAGACAAACAGATAGATAGAAAGATGAAAGATGGAATAGATAGATAGAAAGATAAATAGATATATAGATAGAAAGATAAATAGATATATAGATAGATAGAAAGATAAATAGATATATAGATAGAAAGATAAATAGATATATAGATAGAAAGATAAATAGATATATAGATAGATAGAAAGATAAATAGATATATAGATAGATAGAAAGATAAATAGATATATAGATAGATAGAAAGATAAATAGATATATAGATAGAAAGATAAATAGATATATAGATAGATAGAAAGATAAATAGATACATAGATAGAGAGAAAGATAAATAGATAGATAAACAGACAGGCAGGTAGATAGATACAATCATTAATTTAATCAATTTAAGAGGCTTCCTCCTCCTGCAGACGAAGACGAGTGCGCAGAAGACAACTTCGGCTGCTCTGACGTCTGCGTGAACACCCACGGCGGCGCCCACTGTGCCTGCCCCGTCGGCTACGATCTGGCTCCTGACGACAAGACCTGCGAGGGTAAGGAATCCCTTTCTTTCTCTTTTTTTTTCTCTTTTGGATGGGCTTTGTTGAGGATTCGCCTAGAATTTTGGGGGGTACTTGCATAGGATTTGTTTAGGATTTGTTGAGGATTCGCCTAGGTTTTTTGTTTTTTTAGGATTTATTGATGATTTTTTTTTTTTTTTGGGGGGGGGATTTGCATAGGATTTGTTTAGGATTTATTGATGATTTTTTTTTTTTTTTGGGGGGGGGATTTGCATAGGATTTGTTTAGGATTTATTGATGATTTTTTTTTTTTTTTGGGGGGGGGATTTGCATAGGATTTGTTTAGGATTTATTGATGATTTTTTTTTTTTTTTGGGGGGGGGATTTGCATAGGATTTGTTTAGGATTTATTGATGATTTTTTTTTTTTTTTGGGGGGGGGATTTGCATAGGATTTGTTTAGGATTTATTGATGATTTTTTTTTTTTTTTGGGGGGGGGATTTGCATAGGATTTGTTTAGGATTTATTGATGATTTTTTTTTTTTTTTGGGGGGGGGATTTGCATAGGATTTGTTTAGGATTTATTGATGATTTTTTTTTTTTTTTGGGGGGGGGATTTGCATAGGATTTGTTTAGGATTTATTGATGATTTTTTTTTTTTTTTGGGGGTGTTTTTTTTTTGGGGGGGGGATTTGCATAGGATTTGTTTAGGATTTATTGATGATTTTTTTTTTTTTTATTAATATTTCTGCTAAAACTTCTGAAAGTATATGCTGAATAGTGTCCGTCACTAATAATTAATTCGTATTTATAAAATCTCTCTTTAAACAAATAAATCAACAGTTGAAACAAGAAACAAAACAAAAAAAAAACAACCTTCCCTTGTCCCTCAGACATCGACGAATGCGAGGAGGAGGAGGAGGAGGAGGGGGAGGGGGGGCCCGGCTGCTCCCACGGCTGCGCCAACTCCGAGGGATCCTACAGCTGCACTTGCCCCGAGGGGCTCACTCTCTCGCCGGACCTCAGGACCTGCCTCGGTAAGGGCTCTTCAGGGGGGCGGGGTATCTCACTCATTCACACACACACATACATATATACATACACATATACATACACATGCACATACACATAAACACACACACACACACATACATACATACATACATACATACACACACACACACACACACACACACACACACACACACACACACACACACACACACACACACACACACACATACACACACACACACATATTTATACATACATGTATGTGTGTGTGTGTGCAATTGATCACATATCCATAATTAACAGTAATCACATCTCTGTTCATGTTAGCAAATATGTTAAGTTGACATACATTGCAATTGCCATAAACCTTTAAAAGTAAACAAACAATTTAGTTCCCGTTTTTCATACTTCTATTTACCAAATCAAGAATACGAGGACTATTGCGTTAAACTTTCCCTTTTCAAACAGTCCTATGCAAGTGTACATATTTTCTTTCTCTTCTAGATGTGAACGAATGCGCTTCTGCCAACGGAGGATGTGATCAACTCTGTGAAAATACTGAAGGGTCTTTCTTCTGCGATTGCAAGGAGGGATTCGAACTCTCCGCCGACGAAGTCACTTGCAGCGATACGGATGAGTGCGTCGAGGACAACGGCGGATGTGACCAAGTCAGTCAGGCTTTCTTTCTCTTTCTGTCTGTCTGTCTTTTTGTTTGTCTTTCTGTCTTTCTGTTTAACTGTCTGAATCTCTCTCTTTTTCTCGTTCTCTTTCTCTCTCTCTCTCTCTTTCTTTCTTTCTTTCTTTCTCTCTCTCTCTCTCTCTCTCTCTCTCTCTCTCTCTCTCTCTCTCTCTCTCTCTCTCTCTCTCTCTCTCTCTCTCTCTCTCTCTCTCTCTCTCTCTCTCTCTCTCTCTCTCTCTCTCTCTCTCTCTCTCTCTCTCTCGCTCTCGCTCTCTCGCTCCTAAAATATTCATCGGTTGGTAGTTATTTTTCTTATATATACATATTTTTTTTCACTCTGACTATTCTTGTAAAATCCATCAAAACACATGTTGCTTCTGCAAGTACCTCTCCCAACACGTGACTCTCCCCGGCAGGAGTGCACCAACACGAAGGGCTCCTTTTCGTGCTCCTGTCTGCCTGGGTACGAGCTCGAGGATGACTTCCACTGCATTGACGTGGACGAGTGCCAACTGCAACTGTCCAAGTGCCAGCATGACTGCATCAACGTCCCCGGTTCGTACGAGTGCATTTGCCACGAAGGCTTCGAGATATCGTCGGACAACCACACGTGCCTTGACATCGACGAGTGCGGCTCCGACACCGGCTGCTCCCACTTCTGCACCAACCGGAACGGGTCGTACGTCTGCCACTGCCCGCCCGGCTTCCACCTCGACGCCGACGACCACACCTGCGTCGACGAGGACGAGTGCGCGAACGAGAACGGAGGCTGCACGCACCTCTGCCACAACTTCGAAGGCGGTTACAAGTGCAAATGCCCCTCGGGGATGGAGAAACTGCACGAGGGAACGGCCTACGAGAGGAAGCACGTCTGCGTCGACATGGACGAGTGTGAGGACAACAACGGCAACTGCAGTCACATCTGCAATAACCTCGAGGGAGGCTACGAGTGCCAGTGCCCCGATGGATTCTCCTTCAGGACGGAAGATGATGGCACCGAGTCAGAGTTCGAGTGTGTGGATCTGGATGAGTGCGAGGTGGATAACGGTGGATGTAGCCACTTCTGCGTGAACACTGAGGGAGGAAGAGAGTGTATTTGTCCTGAAGGGATGAGGCTGCCTGAAGGGACGGGTAACAGCACACAGGAGTCCCCGTGCGAGGATGTGGATGAGTGTCTCAAGGATAACGGCGGCTGCAGCCACGTCTGCATCAACCTCGAGGGCACGTACGAATGCGAGTGCCCCGAGGGGTGGGTCCTCGACATACCCGAAGACTACTACGATTACTACAATGACAAACCCGTCGATTTCGACATCTACAACGAAGTCATCTGGAAAAAGTGCGTCGACATGAACGAATGTTCCGAAGACAACGGAGGATGTAGCCACACGTGCCACAACAGCGACGGAGGCTACAAATGCTCTTGCCCAGAAGGGTACTGGCTGGGCAAGGACAACCGCACCTGCTGGGATGTCAACGAGTGTGCCATCGACGGCGGCGGCTGTTCGGACACGTGCACCAACACCGACGGGTCCTTCGTGTGTTCTTGCCCCGACGGCTTCCAGCTGGTGGACTCTACTCGCTGCGTAGACGTGGACGAATGCCAGCAGGACAACGGCGGCTGCACCCACCGCTGCGTCAACCAGATCGGGAGCTATCACTGCGCATGCTCGGAAGGCCTCATGCTGCAGGACGACAACGTCACCTGCGCCGACCTGAACGAGTGCGGCGACGACAACGGCGGCTGCTCTCACGACTGCCAGAATCTGCTCGGCAATTACACCTGCAGCTGCCCGCCCGGTTTCGCCCTCGGGGAGGACCTGCACACCTGCGAGGACGTGAACGAGTGCCTCACGAACAACGGTGGCTGCTCGCACGTGTGCCGCAACAAGAAGGGCTCCCACAGGTGCAAGTGCCCCAAGGGCCTGAACCTCGGCGTCGACAAGCTCACCTGCCTCGACGTGGACGAGTGTGGCACCGAGAACGGCGGATGCTCCCATCAGTGCGCCAACCACAAGGGCCACTACACGTGCCTCTGCCCCACCGGCTTCGAGCTGGCGGCGGACAATCACACCTGCGTTGACATAGACGAGTGCCAGCTGGACAACGGCTCGTGCGGCCATAAGTGTGTGAACAAGGAAGGGGGTTACGAGTGCCACTGCCCGTTCGGGATGGAACTCAGCGGGGACAAGTTCACGTGCAAGGACGAGGACGAGTGTGTCATCGACAACGGAGGATGCAGCCATGAGTGCCACAACACACGAGGCTCCTACAGGTACGCAATAAATCCATTCCCTATATTAATAAAGCGAATAACATTACCAGGGTTGGTCCAAGTGTATATCAACCTAACCATTCACTCATTTCTTCGATACTTAAACTTAAACACATAATAAACAGCATTACACGTCCTTGGGATCCTCAGCATTATCAGTCTCTCCATCTATCCATCCATTTATTGCTCTAAACCTGTAATCGTCTGCCACCAGATGCGAGTGCCCCACCGGATACCGCCTTGCTAGCGACGGTACTTCTTGTGAAGATATAGATGAGTGTTCTATCGCCAACGGAGGATGCTCTCATACCTGCATCAACAGAAAAGGGTCGTTCCTGTGCACGTAGGTCCCTCGAATTGCAGTTGGTTATTGTCATACGTGTTACACCTGTCATGCAACATTACTGTTACTACATTTATTTTATTTGTGATGCTAATAATTATTAATAAATTGTACGTAATTTGTTGCTAACAGTTACAGTTTCATAGTTTCATATTTCTTAAGAATAATTGTTGATATAACATACAGTACAAACATACAATCTACAAATATTGTAATCTGAGGTTATTCTATCAATGCTGTTAGTAAAGAAGATTATGACAGTAATTTATAACAATAATAAGGGAGAAATTACGATAGTGATAACACCAAAGACGACACTGATAATGACACTAATAACAAACATAAAGATAATAAAATGGTAAAACTATAAATCCATATAATAATAAAATAATAAAAAGAACATAAAGATAATACAATGATAAATCTCCAATAATGAAATGATAATCCCCATAAACGTTTCTCCACAGCTGTCCGAGAGGTTACGAGATATCTGAAGATCCTTACAAATGCCTGGACGTGAATGAATGTGCTAAAGCTCCTTGTGAACACGAGTGCTTTAACACCCCCGGCTCCTACTACTGTGCCTGCAGGCCTGGATTCAAGCCGAAGCCAGAGTATGTAGAACTGTTATTGTTGTTGTTGTAGCTTTTATTATTGTTTTTGTTTCTGTTAATAGTAGTAGTAGTAGCAGTAGTATTATCATTATGATTATTATTATAATTTTCATTGTCATTATTAGTATTATGATTATCATTATGATTATTATTATTAATGTTGTTATTATCATTATTATTGTTATCATTATCATTATTATTATTATCACTATTATTATAATTACTACACAATTACTCTCCTCTCTTCCTCCCCCCTACCCCTTCCCAGCACCTCTCACCAGTGCTGGGATGTAAACGAATGTGACGAGGATAACGGAGGATGCGCCCAGGATTGCTTCAACTCCCTCGGCTCCTACCACTGCGGCTGCTCGGTCGAGTATATGATTGGGGAGGACGGGCACTCGTGCGATCGTGAGTCTTGTTTTCTGCTTTTATTACTGTTATTTTTATTGTTTTTAGTGGTATTCTTTTTAGTGTTATTGTTATTGCTTTTAGTGTTATTGTTATTGTTTTTAGTGTTATTGTTATTGCTTTTAGTGTTATTGTTATTGTTTTTAGTGTTATTGTTTTTGTTTTTAGTGTTTTTGTTATTGCTTTTAGTTTCAGTGTTATTGTTTTTAGTTTCATTGTTATAGCAATCACTGTTGTTGTCATTGTCATAGTCATTGTCATCGTTATCTTCGTTCTTGACATGACGACTATCATTATTAGTAATGTCACTATTATTTCCCATTAGCATTAACGATATTATCATTATTAAATTTAAGTCCGAGTAACTGAGTGTAAACAAACTGCATAGTATTTGAACCGGCTATAATCAAGACACCGTAGTCTAGTAACCAAGTATAACCATATAGTATAAAGTAGTATACGGTATAGAATATAATCAGACACCTTAGTATAATGACCGAGTATAACCAGAGATCGTAGTATAGCAAGCTCCAACGTAGTATAACCAAACAATATATCACAGAGTAGTATATAAAAAAAGTATAACCAGTCACCTAATATAACCAGAGACCGTAGTATAACAACCAAACAATACAATGAATATAATCAAAACAATACAGTAAAATAACAGAGTATAACCAGACCCCATATCTCTCCCTTTCTTCTACCAGTCAAACC